GTTCATGAACTCAGTAACAGCGGATAGCTGAGAGTATCCCTCACAATCAGCATACAGAGGTTGGTCGACAGCTTTTAGAACATCCTGAAATCTCTAAGCCAAACCTTCATCCACATAAGGTTGATAAAATGTCGGATTTTCATCCGCATCTGGTTGATACGAGGTTGAGGCTTCAGGGGGGTCGTTAGGTGGTTGTGGGGGGTTGAATTGAGACGGTACACCGTATGCGTCATATACCATTTGTTGGTCCCACCTCATTTCAGCACGGTCCCCCCACGCACTCATCTCTGGAGGGACGTAACGAGACGAACCTACCGTTTGTGGTATAACAGATGGATCCAAAGGTTCGCCGTGAGAAGTCCAATTATAATAATTGGGAACAAAACCGACCGCGTACAAATCATACCCAACTTCGTGTGGGTCTTTAAATTTGAGATTTTTACACTTTGAACATGGACATCTTATTTTATCACCACTCATATAAGCCGGATGTTCAAGTGCAAATTCAATAAATTCCCCGACTCCCTCGAGAAAATTTGATTGCATTCCGTACAATACCGCATCTTTATCATACATCCAACTTCTATTTTGTTTATACATTATGCCTGAATATTATAATAAAAAATTATATGAAATGCAATGCACACAATTTTAATGCACAAAATATATGTCCCCTAATGCACAATAATGCAGATAATTTCACTAAATTAAACATACGTTTAATTAAATCTAACTAATTCATTTAGTTAAATTTAACTAAATTTAACTAGTTCATTCCGTCCCCTTTTAATGCATCAATACGTTTAAACCTACGTTTAGCTACCTAATTTAACTTAATTAACACATCAATAGCTACGTTCAAACCTACGTTTAGCAAACGAATTTTAATTAAATTATTTTTGTAAACCTACGTTTAAACCTACACTAAATTAAATTATTACGTTAATGACATTTATTCTTATTAGTAATACACAATTAACAATTCACTAAATTAAATAATATGACCAAATTCAACCCAATAATTTGAACATGTATATAAAGTTATTTGAATTAATAAGCAATACACAATTCACAATAACAATTCACAATTCACTTAATTAACACATTACTAACGTACGTTATTTGAACTAATTTCACTAAACATAAACATCATTACGTTTTAAACCACATTTAGCTAACTAATTTTAATTAAATTATTTTAATTTATAAACCTAAAAGTTTAACTAATTCTAATTTATGACATTACTACGCTTATAGTTAAAACATGTTGTTAATTAATTAACAACCTCACTAATTTAATAGTTTTACTAATTTAAATTGAACCAACTAATTCTAAATAAAAATTATAATTCAAATAACATACCTCATCTGCATAAACAGGGAAAATGATAGAAGATAGACTACATCCTTCGATCTACGGATACTGTATATACTGGGAATGAAATGGGGTGATCCTGTTCAATGAGCTGCTCCTGCATATATAAAAAATTTAGTCACGGACTTAGTCACGGATTTGTCCGTCACTAAGCAAAACCGTGTCCAATACGCGTCCAACACGTGTTAATGACGTGTAAATGACGTGTTAATCAAAGTAGTCACGGAACTAGTCACGGATATGGCCGTGACTAAAATTATCCGTACATAATGCCGTTGCGAATTAACTAACGGAGCTGAAAAAAATTAAATTTTAATTATAGTCACGGGTATAGTCACGGATTTGGCCGTGACTAAGTCGTCGGAATTAAATAAACTTCGCCGGAAACGGAAACGGGCCTATCGGAGGACTTAAGTCACGGGCCACGACCGTGACTAACATTAGTCACGGTCATAGTCACGGTCTGGACCGTGACTAGTTTTTTTTTTTAAATTTCCGTGACTAGTCCGTGACTAGACCGTGACTAAACTAGTCACGGACCAAATCCGTGACTAAAATCCGTGACTATAACGCTGTTTTTTTGTAGTGAACACTTTAGAACATTGTAATTTGATCATAAAGCAACTGTATACTAAATAAGAAAATATATGTTTCGTTTTCAAAAAGTAGTAATTATATACTCCGTATAAATTAATATTTCTCGAAAGAACTAAAGATGAGATGAGTTGACTTGTAAAAAGAATGAGTTGGGCCATTAGAATAAAGCAACTTCATATACGTGTCTTACTAATAAGTAATGTTTTAACTTTCGACCTAAGTTAAACGGAATCAAAATTTGTATGGTTGAAATTTGAGTTGATGTTGGAGGAATAATGTGAACAATGAATTAATTACGATAAATAAAATATGAAATTTATTTTCTCTCAAATGTCACTAATGGGACTGATTTCAATTTCGTTTCAATTATGATAATTTAACTAAACATTGACCATGTCAAACGAAACCACATTTAAATATATAATAGGAAAAATTCTCGAGATATGACTCAAACAAAGTGAGTTTCTCGAAATGTGACTAGTTATGTTTTTTTCTCGAAATATGACCAAAAATCGAAAAAAAAAAAAGAATTTTTCGTTATATTAAATTATGGAAGGACAAAAATACCCTTTTTTTTAATATGCATTTTACACTAATTTCGTCCGGGTAAAAATATTGCACTTCATGAATGCGTTATTGCACTACATTTATTGCACTTTATGGCGGTATTCACTGCACGACATAACATTACATAAAATGCATTTAGCGTTTTTTAGATTTCAAAACTTTAGTTCTTACATTTGGTTAAATATTACATATAATGCTACGAATTTATAGATATTTTTCCATGTCATTTTTAATGCACTTCTTTTCATGTCATTGCACTTTTTACATTATGGCACTTCTTGCCATATCATTGCACGTTTTGTCATAACTCATTGCACTTCTTGTGATGTTCACGGCATTATATATAAATTATTCATTGCACACTTATTTCATCGTCTTCAACCTAGGTTCGTCTTCAACCTCGGTTCGCCATCAACCTTGGCCGCTTTGACTGAAGAATCTGAGTTGTAGGAGTGGCAGAGAGGCGCGGCTGAGCGGTAGCGAGTTGGATCGAGTGCAATCGTGCGGCTGGACGGCGACGAGGACGGCAACGCTCAGGGCTTGGGACGATGTTGACGAGCATGAATCAGGATGGAGGCGGCGCCCACTGCTCAGGACGACAGCGGCGCGCAGGTGTAGGGATGGCGGTGGCGTACTGGCGTGGTCGGTTGGCGGCGACGACGGCGAACAAGCGTGGAACTAGAGATGGACTGGTGGACGGCGGCCGTGGGTGCGTGCAGTGGTCCAGGGGATGGCGGCGGCAGGTTGTGCGGTGAGCGCAAGAGGCGGGTGGATGTGTGCGGCTGGTTGCTATATAGGTTTTGTAGAAAAAGAGTAGGGATGTTAGGGTTTTATAGGTATAGCGTAAAGGGTATATTTGTCCATGAAAATATTCATTTATTTATTAATTACGAATTATTATTAAATAATATGAATTTAGGTATTATTTTGGGGAAAAAACTAGTTAGGTCATAGATTGGGAAAGTGAAAGAGTTTTAGTCATATGGGAGATAATTGTTTCTATATAATAATCTATACGTATGGGAATGTATGTAAATTATATGTGTGAATGTATACACACAGATATATGATTTGGACCAAAAGAGAAGCTGATAAGAGATGAGATGTGAATTGATACGATGCAATACATTTAGAGCCCGTTTGGTAATATCAAAATCGCCTGAATCTACTGATTTTGTTGAAATTTATGAAATTGCTGGTTTCCGTGCCTAATTTGGCTGATTGCTAATTTATGGAAAAATTATATTTAAAATATAATTTATTAATAAAATAAATAAATAAAATTACATGTAAAAAGAGCTAAAATGATCCTCTACAGTAACTTCAACCAATACAACCAGAAAGGTAACTTCAGCCTTAAATTTTCTTATTATTACAAAATTCAACGCGCGAAATCAAATGTTACGTGTTTGGTAAAAAAAGTTGGCCGATAAGCCTGATAAGCCGAAAAAACAACTCTTAGAACTCTCCACTATATGAACCACAAATTTGCATTGTCATTAATGAAAAAAGCGAATCACATACTTTTTTCCTATCAAAATGATGGTCATATATTTTCTAGGAAAAAGGTGCAAATAGGCCCATGTACTAACCAAAAAAGGTCAAATAAGCTCTTATTTAGGAGGCTCTATCCGGCCGTCGCCATTTTGAGTGGTTCCTGGTGGAACTTTTTGATGAAACTTTTTTAGCATCTTATTCATTAAGTCTAGTTTACTCATACCAAATTTTAGCTAAAAATTCAATCGGGAAGGCATTCAAATGAATTCTTGAAAATAATTGCGTAGTTAGAAGCGTAGTTATCTTCAAGAATTCATTTGAATGCCTTCCCGATTGAAGTTTTCGCTGAAATTTGGTATGAGTGAACTAGACTTAATGAATAAGATGCTCAAAAAATTTCATCAAAAAATTCCACCGGGAACCAACTCAAATGATGACGGCCAGACAGAACTTCCTAAATAAGGGTTTATTTGATCTTTTTTGGTTAGTACATGGACCTATTTGCACCTTTTCCCTATTTTCTATTTGTGTTGTCTTAAGATTATAGTTTTGTTTCCCTTTTATAAGGAAAATAAAGTAGATTACCATTTATATCCTAACTTTTTATGAACAATAAGAATAAAATAATGAACAATGCAACAAAATAAGGTTAAATGTATCCTTCTACCCCACTTTTTGAATATTTTAACTCAAAAAATATAGGACCATCCATTTGGGAAGGAATGAGTGTTGTTTTGGCATTTCGTTTAGTGCATTATCTTAATTTCCTATATCCTAACATGAAAAGAATGTGAGTAATGAGTATTAACTTATTGTTGTGCTCATTATTTCAACTAACATTTTTTTTTGACTAATCACAAACCTTAGTAACACAAATTCATTTTTACTCTTTTTCACATACGGAGTATAAATTAAAACATGCAATCTTCCGAAAATAATGTAAAAAAAAAAAATCTGACACTGACACGAGTATAAAATAATGTAAATGACACCCCTGATTCCGCTCATTCCGAAAACGGCCTAACTCAACTAACTGGGAAAGAACACCGGACCAGCAAATTTCTGCCCCTATATCGTCTTCTCCATAAAATTCTCTGCGAAATTATATACACCAGCGAGTGAACTCACGCTCCTCTACCGAGATACGCAGTGACGCTATAACATATGCGTTTATGCACACACAGCGGGAGCTGATTTCGGGATTATTCGAGCGGGAAGGAAGGAATCGCGGACTTCTCGTCGAGGTTATCTCTCATGAATTCTCCTCCGCAATTTGATCCGCTGCTATCTGGATTGTTCGTATTGATTGAATTCGCCGCCGAGGGAGATTTAGAGGGACTTTTGTGGTAGCGAAGAGTGTTTTAGGTGAATGGAGGAGAGAGGCGGTGGAGGATCGTTTGTGGCGGTGAGGAGGATATCTCAGAACCTCGACAGAAGCAATCCCTGTCATTCATCCTCTGGTAACGCAAATTTCAGTAACATATAGGATAAAAGCTGTACAGAAAAATCTTATCTAACAGTAATTCGGTTCTGTATCTATCTGTACCAAATGGTGTTTGTTGGATAGTAGTCCCTATTGGCCTCTCGAGATGTTGTGCAGGAGTGGATTCTAGAGCTTCCTGTTTTTTGAATCTGATATTAGTTTGCTTCTGTTGATTTAGGATGCCTAACTGCATTCGCATATTTCCTGTGGTAGCTTATTTTCTCTCTGTTTACACATGTCAACTTCGTTAAGGTATCTCTCATGGTGCTTTCATGAAGGTTTTCTATGGCACGCAAGCTAGAAGGATGCTCCTTCTAGTGTATCTTTTCTATCTGTACTCATTAAACAAGTCCCGGAAACACAAGGAGCAAAATCTTTTATGAAGAGATACTTTTAATTTTTTGTTAATGATCGCAGATTGGCAGTTGTGTCATTGTGATTTATATATTCAAATTTTGGCCGGCTACTTTGAAATGAGTGTGGGAGGGATGGGGGGGGGGGGGGGTAAATATCACAAAATGGTTACTTCATTTATTTCCAAGTCACTGCAAAGCACAGTGGCTTTTAATTGATTCAAGCTTTGCTAGATTGTTAGAATATTGGAATACACTGACAATTGATACTGACATTTATGTTTAATTGTTAATATCTGTCCTCCTAGAGTCCAACATATAGGCATAATAAATGCATCGAGGTTCTATTAACTGTTAATATGAGTGTTACTTCCAAATATGCTCAATACTTTTTCTTTTCCTGAATAGCCTGAATTTTTTTAAATTCCTATTTTAGTTTTAGCAACTAAACTATTTTAATGCCTAACCACTGATTTTGTTTCATTACAGCTGATGTCACCGGATCAGCTGCATGGCTTGGGAGAGGGCTATCTTGTGTTTGTGCTCAAGGAAGAGAGAGTGATGCACGTCTCTCATTTGATTTAACGCCTACACAGGTACATTCATTAAATCCTGGACTCCCGGCATTTAAGTTAAACAACATTGTGTGTGGTTGAATAATGTGTCATTCTATCTTATTTGTTTTTTCACTAATTGTTTCCCTAGAATCTGCTATGAATAAAGATGTGTTGACGCATTCCATTTTGGTGGTTATAGGAGGAATGCTTGCAGAGGTTACAGAGCCGTATAGATGTTGCTTATGATAGTTCTAATCCTGAACATCAGGTATTACTGCATCATGTTTAACAAGACATGAAAAAAGTTTGACATTTTTTTAAATCACTAGTGCATTTCTTTTCCTGGTTCCCACAGGAAGCTTTAAGAGCTTTATGGAATGCCGCGTTCCCTGAGGAGGAACTCCGTGGCCTTATATCTGAACAGTGGAAGGACATGGGTTGGCAAGGAAAAGATCCATCTACTGACTTCAGGTACATTAACTCTCCCCATATCCATTGTAATATTTGTGTAAGTTGATTTTAGCTTGAAGCTGTTGAATGCATTAAGCTATTTGATTAATTTTTCTGACTAGTGGTGTTAACTTTTTATTACCATTGTTCTATTTTGTGTTTCCTCATACAGGGGTGGTGGATTTATATCACTGGAAAATTTATTATATTTTGCAAAGAACTTCCCGGTAAATTTCCTTCTCAATTCTATTGTACTTGTCGTCTATCATACCGTTTGATTACTATGAAACTGTGTTTCTTTTCTTCATGTTGTTCCGCATTCAAATCACACATAAATGAGTTTTTTTTTGTGTTCATATGTTTACCCATCCAAATGTCATCATTAGTTTTTGGTCCTTGGCAGTCTACATGGCTTCTACGTTCTGCGGTATAGATGCTCAGTTGGCAATTGTCCCAATAGTTTCTATCTCATATGTGTCATGTTGTAATGCTTTTCATGGGTGGAAATGGATTCTGCTTTACTAATCTCAGAAAATGTAATTTGCAGTGTATTTATAATCATTGGATATCATATATGGGTACATTTTTGGCATTTCATATTCAGTGTGCCAATTATGTGCTTGTGATCACTAGGTCAGAATATTGTTTACATTGCAGAATTTATCTTTCTCAAAATTTGTTTTACGTATGGCTGTAAAGTCTAAAATTGTTAATGCATAAGATCATATAGATAACATCTATCTATGATATATCCTTGAAGCTCTAAGCCTCTTATAGCATTTATATGTGAGCTATTCCGATCCTTATTAGACATTTTAGACAAGTGTGGTAGTGAACTAAATATTTCTTAAACTAGTTGACATTTATTTATTTATTTATTCAAGAAGCAGAAAACTTAACAAGAACAATTAACCTAATCTACGAGACAGCAGGAATTTGGAAGTCCCTAAGAAGATAGAATAGTTAATATTTTTTCGCTATTCAGGGTACTTGTAAGTTGTAAATAAACCAAACACTCAAGGTACACATTGCAATGGATATATACGGATGCTATGTTATGTGCTTTAGTTTTTTTACATGATGTGCAACATTTTATCCAGACATCTTTTCCTCCTAATCAGTTCACTAAACCAGTCTATATAATATGCAATTTCATTCTTTCATGGTGGCATACATGATACATGTATTAGTTGGTTCAGATAGTTTCACTTAGTTTCACTTGCTTCTGATGCAACTTGCAGAAATCCTTCCAGGATCTTCTTCGAAAGCAGGAAGGTGACAGAGCCGTGTGGGAATACCCATTTGCTGTAGCTGGTGTTAACATCACCTTCATGCTCACCCAGATGCTTGATCTAGAAGCTGGCATGTCGTTCTTCTCACTTCTTTTGTTTCTTTCTTTTTGTTATGTTTTGTTTTGTTTAGTTCTGTTTTGTTATATTTTGTTTTGTTTTGCATATAAACTTATTTGTATACTTTCTTTACACCAGATGCTTGATCTAGAAGCTGGCATGTCTTTCTTCTCACTTCGCTTGTTTCTTTCTTTTGTTTTGTTTTGTTTTGTTTTGTTTTGTTTTGTTTTGTTCTGTTTTGTTATATTTTGATTTGTTTTGCATATAAACTTATTTGTATACCTTCTTTGCACCATGAGTTCACGATTGATTGATTCTGCACTTATACAGTTAGCATCTTTTTTATGGTCTTATCTCTATTATATCTGATGCTCTTCTTTTCTAGCGCCAACACATGTTCCATCATGTATATTCACTTTTTGAGTGACAAGTCTCTTAAATTATAGGATGTTGATGATAATGGCGTCTAAACTGTCTGAAACACAGCTAGAATCTAAAGATTCATATAAATGTATCTGAGATTAAATGCATTTACTAAACTGTGCAGTAAAACCACGAAACCTGGTTGGAGCATCCTTCTTGAAGTTTCTTGCAGGTAAATACCACAAGGCCAGAGTTTTAATCTCTGCAGCATTGTTTAATAAACCCTCGCTTTCCTCCTCGGGTGATTGCTTAGCTGCTGGCATTAGTCTCTTCCTTTCTTTTTGTGTGTGTTTTCACATTTCAGTGAATTTATGTTTCCTGTTGGATAGAAAACGAGTCAGCATTTGACCTGCTGTACTGTATTGCGTTCAAGCTGATGGATCACCAATGGCTTGTCATGCGTGCCTCATACATGGAATTCAATGTACGTGCCTTTGTTTTCTAATGATGTCATTTACAACTAATTTGGGAAAAAGTTGACAACTAATTTGGAACAAAATTGGATGCTCTCTTCGACAGGCGGTGATGAAGGCTACTAAGAGACGATTGGAAACTGAACTTCTACAGGATGATTTGACCCGGCTGGAAGATTTGCCCTCCTACAATCTCCTCTGCTGATAGTCTTGTACCTTATGTGGCGGCTTTAACTGGTTCTGGTTTTCCAACCTTTAATAGATTAATCCCCCATCACACGACAATGCTCTTTTACCCTAAGTTTGTTTGAACTCTATAGATGTATGTTGCTGAGCACGTTAATGACATCTTTCACTTTATCTCACTCTTTTTAATCTTTATCCTTCTCTCTCTGCCTTGTCTTGCGTATCATAGAGCTGGCGCAATATGTGTTTGTTTGTTAATATCCTATTACTTTCAGGACATATGTTAAGATGTTTTTACTTGGACAGTTCCAGTCCCAAACCAAACTTGGATAATTATAAAATGCATAGAGACCAAACATTTACTAGACCAAGACCAACAAATTTCAATCCAAGTAAAAACATCCTTAGTGGGCGTATTGCCCATTAACCTTCCATTTGCCTGTTTGAGTGTTTGATTTTTAAGTTTTAACCACCACAGAAAATACCAATCTAAATTTTGAAACTCATATATGCATTATGACATCTTCATTATTCTTGAAACTGTTATTCAAATTCATTGTTCAAACTCATTAAAGAGTAATAAGTGCAGGTTAAGCGTTTCCATAATTCCATGGATTTGTACTTATAAATACCAACTTGCAGTAGCTAGCAATTAAGATACAGGCAATAAGAGTATTAGTGCATATCTCTCATCCTCAGAAGGCCATACTACATTACTACCATAGAAATATTAAAGGTAATCTCTTTCGCTAAAATTAATTCAATATAACGCCTCTGCCCTAGAATAAGGATAGCATTCAGCTTTTTTTTTTGGCAAAATTGCATTCAGCTTAACAATATATTATATTTGATTTTTTAAATCAAGTTATTGATATATTCAATCTTATATTTGTAGTTCTATAAAACTTTTGGTGGAGTTTTAAAACCTCAACAGCTCAACTTAATTATTTCTACTAATTGAAATTTCATTGAGCATAGTTGATGTTGTCATTTGAAAAAATGTTGTGAACACAATAAAAAAACTTTAATATGAGAGGTAGTATTCCCTTTACTCCGCCTTCTATATAAATTGTCTTCTATAGAAATTACGAAGTATGTAAGACTAGTTAGTAAAATGTAAGGATCGTGCTTATATAACGTTTAATGTTAGGTTATTGATTAATAAATGAAATAATGACTACAATAAGAATAGTGAATAAAAATGTTATACGTAAATTATTAGTAACTTATTATATTAGTGATTGCATTTATGTTTAATTTTACAAGATGAATGTATGCACATAATAACTTTCATCACATTTTTGTTCATAAATTTTATTGAAATAATATTTTAGAAAAGAATTCAATGAAATAAATGACAATGTTTTCCATCCTAAAAGGTCAACCTGATAGGAGTAGCTCATAGCCTTATATAATGTTTTATTATTTTATAGCTTTTCGGTGTGGGACAAATGCTTCAACACGCCCCCTCAGCCTGAACCGAACTGGACAATATCGGGGTATATAAATGGGCCAAACAGACTCTTAACAAGCTACCCGTAATCATGGGTGCTAAACAATTCGTCAAACCACAACCGAACCTGGCTCTGATAACATGTTAAGACCCGGGGTTCCATCCTAAAGGTCAACCTGATAGGAGGAGTAGCCCAAAGCCTTATATAGTGTTTTATTATTTTATAGTTTTCCGGTGTGGGATAAATGTTTCAACAGATGAGCAAAGACAATTGTCATTCAACAATGCTTGATGTGTACCAATTCTTATACTCACCTTATACCCAACATGTTTGGGATGTGTGTTCACAGACAATATTTTGTTTATGCAAAATATTGTCTGTGAACTCTGAAAAAAACACTTCACAAACATGGATGAGTACAGAAGTAGGTATAAGAGTGGGTACAAACATCATTTTTGAAAAAAACAAATTACTAAAATGGGATCACTCAAATAAAAGACTGCAGGAAATTAAACAAGAGGACCTGGAAGTTTCAATGCCCCACACATAATTTCATAGTAGGCGCTCATGTTATTATCTAGTCCTATTATAAATTAAAGTTTTGAACTATAAATTACCTAATTAACCAGAATTACTAATATAATTTACTATTGAAGTATTTCCCGAGTCTTGACATGCCATTACCTAATAGGCTCCACGCATGTATTCCAATCTATATAAATTAAAAGTCCAATTATAATTTATTGTTACCCGGGAGTAATAATTTGAAGAAGACAATATAATGATGGAGAGAACAAGTGCTTATGTTATAAAAGTAAAATTACTACCTACAAGGCTACAATTGCATCGTCATTAGTAGTTTGTACATTTTTCTTCTTGTTTTCTGTTTCTCATTTTCGAATTGAAGTAGCATTTACATTAATTATTATTTATGTTTATTTATTTCAATAAGTAAATATAAGCAGAAACAAGAAAGGGTGGTTTGTAGTTTATAAGTATATTTAGTTTATTTTTATTTGACGTAATTACTTGGGGAAAAATCTTAACTAACATATATGTTTGTTGTTTTTTGAATCTCAACTCGATAGATCGACAAGCGTGTATACAAAATGTCTTACAACGGACACGTTATAATAGTTATGATCGCATTGGTGCAAATGTGTTTGTTCAACAATATATTCATGTTGGATGCTGCTTCTCCTTCAAAGGATTGTGAAGAATTGGTGAAAAATTGTGTTCTCAATTGCCAAAGTACTAATTATTTGTATGTTATTTGGACTCCTTGGTGTATTGAAAAATGTGATGTATCTAAAATTTGTCCGCCTGCACAGGCACCTTCTCCCGTTGTTGTGCAGAAATAATTAGCCATTATCTATGTTTATGTTTTAATTCATTGTCATGGAGAATTACCAATTGAGCATTGAAATGAAATGTAATGAATGGATAAAATGATCAAATATTGAGATCTTTTACGAGGAGGATTTATAAATGTATACGAATGAACATATATAGAGTCCGATTGATAGCCTATACTTTTGACTTATCAGACTTATCATCCTATTTTTTATTAAGCACGTGACATTTGATTTCGCAAATCGAATCGTATAAGAATCAAAATAAGTAAAATTAAACTTACTTTTCCAGCTAAATTGACTGAAATCATTGTTAAAGATCATTTTAGTTATTTTCATATACTTTTGTCATTATTTTATTAACAAAATGTAATTATTTCTATAATATAATATTTCCATAATTTGACATCTATTCAGTCACTTGAGTCTAAATTTCATCAATATTAATTACCAAACGTACTAACAATGTTTATTACATTCATATTAAGAAAAACAATGAGCTAGTATCTCATATGACAGGATGTAGAATGATCGCCCTATCAAGAGTTGCATGATTCAATTCACCAAACATATCACATATACGATTATCATTGCATTAGTCGCATTAAGATACACGCTTCAAATCAAACGTACTTAGACAAACAAATCAAATTAAAGATGTTTTTAATAAACATCTTGTTGAGTTTAATCCAACACGATATAGTAAATATATGTATAAATGTGTATGAACAGGCTATTTTTACGTGGAAACCCGGAAAGGGAGAAAACCACGGGACTTTTTAGGCTAATGTCCAAGCCCTCTCTTTCTCATTAGGACTCTCCTCACCATTACATAGTACAATTTGAGCTCCATTTATGGAGTATTGAGCTAGCTAGAGAGAAATCAGGAAGAAGAAGCTAAAAGAGCCCTCCTCAATATGGAGGGAAACTCCCATATTTATAGAGAATAGGGGAAGGGGATGCTTTCCACCCTAATGGGCCACATGGGCCGAAATGGGCCTAACTGCTCGGGCTCCGTACTGAGTAATATCTTGGGCTCTTGAACAGTAATAGGCCGGGATAATATATCCCAACACAAGTCCCCCAGTTTCTTGAGTAGTGAGTGCGCGAATCTGCTCGAGAAAGTATATTCTTGCCTGCGCTCTGCCTCTGTCTAGCTGGAACCTGTGTCTTCGAATAATCATAATACATGAGCGGATGTCCACACTCCTGAACGTAATCTGCCGGTGAGGCACCCCCCTTCCCGACGGGGTTGGGCGAAGGGTGCTCCTCCACGGGCACGCTCCCCCTGAATGCATCAGGCGAGAGTAAAGGACTCTGACTTGAGCTTTCCAACGGAGAAGCTTAGAGGTCCATGCATCTATAAACCGACGTCGCGGTACTGTCAAAACATGACGCACGTGTGTATGTATGAATGTATGAGGTATGATGCATGAATGCATGAATGCATGTAATGTATGGGTGCAATGTAAGAGAGAAGAAATGTGAGATGTGATAGAAAGCGGTGGCTCTCGCCGATAAACCGGGCATGTCAGCGCCGAGGGGCAGACGTGCTGCATAAGAGACGTTCGTCGCCATCCTAAAAGGGATGGGCGACCCTAACGTGAGCCAGACACGATGGCGCTGGGGCGCTGATCGTGCTGCATAAAGAGACGTTCGTCGCCATCCTGGAAGGGATGGTCGACCCTAACGTGAACCAGACACGATGGCGCTGGGGCGCTGATCGTGCTGCATAAGAGACGTTCGCCGCCATCCTGAAAGGGATGGGCGACCCTAACGTGAGCCAGACACGATGGCACTGGGGCGCTGATCGTGCTGCATAAAGAGACGTTCGTCGCCATCCTGGAAGGGATGGGCGACCCTAACGTGAACCACACGCGATGGCGCTGGGGCGCTGATCGTGCTGCATAAGAGACGTTCGCCGCCATCCTGAAAGGGATGGGCGACCCTAACGTGAGCCAGACACGATGGCGCTGGGGCGCTGATCGTGCTGCATAAAGAGACGTTCGTCGCCATCCTGGAAGGGATGGGCGACCCTAACGTGAACCAGACACGATGGCGCTGGGGCGCTGATCGTGCTGCATAAGAGACGTTCGCCGCCATCCTGAAAGGGATGGGCGACCCTAACGTGAGCCAGACACGATGGCACTGGGGCGCTGATCGTGCTGCATAAAGAGACGTTCGTCGCCATCCTGGAAGGGATGGGCGACCCTAACGTGAACCACACGCGATGGCGCTGGGGCGCTGATCGTGCTGCATAAGAGACGTTCGCTGCCATCCTGAAAGGGATGGGCGACCCTAACGTGAGCCAGACACGATGGCGCTGGGGCGCTGATCGTGCTGCATAAAGAGACGTTCGTCGCCATCCTGGAAGGGATGGGCGACCCTAACGTGA